AATAGCAGTATTCCATGCTGTATACAATTTAAGGCTGTTTTAAGGCAATATTAATCTATCTAAGATGAGGAGAGTTTAAACATTTTCTTGAACAAAATAAGGAGAACCGGAAGAGTTATTTATAAAGAAGTTTAGATTTTTATGCATGGTAGGAAGACAGGGCTTGTTCACTAACTAACCTAATTCCTGAACAGTCTAAAGGAATCGAGTCTTTGTCACAAACTCTTATTTTCTAATCACTATATCTTTTGAACCAAATGTTGTAGACCTTAGATATTTCAAACTATGAATTCTGTTAGATCAAATAATATGAGTTTGAAATATCAAAGGTTTACAACATAGAGTTCCAAAGACTCAATTCCTTTGTCTAATCTCATGTAATCTACTCTTTACATACATTATACCTCGCTGTGAGTTGTGACTAAAACTGGTTAAAGGGAGTGACCGGCTATGTAAGGTAGTTGAACTGAGTATGCAGTGTTGTGGAAAGCTTCTTTAGGAGTTTTGAACGTCGAATTTGCGCTCAAACTCAGGACTTACAGATCTTTTAAAAGTTTTATATGTCTCAAATGAATCCTAAAGAAGCTTTTGTACGCAGAACTAGGTCCAATAATTATTATTTTTATTTCTTATTTCATGATTTCTTTTAAAATACAAAGCAACATTTAAAACAATTATTTCAGGGTGAACTGTGCTGAAAGGCCTATTTGTGATGATAACTATAAACATTGCCAATGCCAGGTCCAGTTTGTGATTTAATCAATTTCTTATTTTTTGGAACACCCCTTCAAAAAGGGAGAATAAATTTTTCTATTTTTAAATCATTCCTCCAAAAAATGGATATATTTTATCTCTATTTTACAATATACCTGCCGATTGTATAAACAACTATTGTTTGGACTAAATAATTACTATAGAACCAAAGTAAAAACTAAAAGATTGAGGACACAATATTTTTTTATGCGACGTCATGTAATAATATCGGGTAACACGATTAATATCGATAGGTAACGAGATCGCGCCGAGTGGTAGTGGCGTTGATAGATGACGCATCGTATTCGTGTGGTTCCCTGTTCTGCTAAACAGGTTGAGGATCGTCCCCTTCAATTTGGGATCAATAGATGCGAGCTACCGATCGATATTGATAGCTAACGAGATCTCGCCCAGTGGTAGTGGCGTTGATAAATCACTGATCGTATTCCTGTGGTTCCCTGCTTCGATAAACAGACTGAAGATCGTACCCTTTCATTTGGCATCAATAATGAAAACTATCAATAATGAAAACTATCGCCGTTTTTCCTCAAAGTCTTATTTTTAAAGAAACCAATAGTTTTCAAGGGTACCGTTATGAATCGGACACACCCCTTTTTAAATGGATTGTACCATTAAACAAATCTTTTTCTATTTTTTTTATGAATTAAAATATATTCAGGGTGCTCCTATAGTTGATCCTGAGCATAAATGTCCCCCTGGAGCTGGTGCTAAGGTTCTAGGCGACCCTTTCAACTGCAATATTTCTCTTGTCTGTATTGATGGGACACTATCAACAATTGTCAACTGTGAAAAGGAGAAACCCGTAAGTTTTCCTTGTTTTAAATTGATTGTCTTGATAAAAAACTTATTTCAGCCTTTTTTCTAAAAACAAAAAAGTTAAGTAATCTTTGTTAAAATTTTTTTTTAACATTAAAATCTACATATTTGTTAAGTATAGATATTTGTATATATATATATAGAGGATAACACCATTATATAGTACTAGGGCTTATAGGGCTCTCCGCGCCACTATTTCTATTATCATTTAAGCTTGTTGTTAATCTTTCTATAAAAACCATATTTTTTATTCGTATATCTATACATATTCAGTTCCTAAGTATAGTCATCTCTGTTTGTTTGATTGTCCGGTTGATCATAACTCATAAATCCCTTGACCAGTTTGCCTCTAATTTTGATTGAAGAACTCTAGAGAACATAATAAGAATAATCTGATTCAAATTGGGTTAATTAATTTTATAGAAAAAAATAATTTTCAGGCAAAACAAGATTCCCAAGCTAGTATAATATAAAATAATACGAATATTTTTTGACATTTTCAATAAATCAATTTTTTATTTGAGGCAGCATTTGTAAAATAAGACCTGGCATAAACCAAAAAAAACACCGAAATAATCAAACAGACAAATATATATATATATATAAGATATCTAAAATTGAAAAATTATATTCCTTTTTAAAACAATCATGTTTAGATTGAAACTTTCCAAAATAGATAAGTTAACAGTTCATCAAAATTCGAAAATTCTCCTTCTAAATTATGTTTTTCAGTATTACGACGAGAAACGTTTTGGTTGCTCTTCTGATCCTGCTGTTTGCGAACTTAGGCAAAATATTTTTAATTTATGTTTAGAATAGTATTTTAATTTATGTTTAGAATAGTATTTTAATTTATATCTTCAAACTTGACGATTTGAATCGTTTAGAATGATATGCAAGATATTTAAAGAAAACTAAATGTTTCTGGCTCTTCTGTCACTGAAACTCTCCATTTAACGAGCGGTAACATGGCATGTCCATCGAACTTCTATTTGAGAAAGGTTCTATTGCAAGGAAAGTTATTTCATAGGTGTGCGCATCTTTTGATATGGGATCCATATTTCACATAAAAAATTAATGAAATATTCTGGGCATAGAAAACTATTATGTGAATTATCAAAATTATCAAAATCTAATGCTTTTAATCTCCTCGGATACTAAACGAACACTATGCATCTATTCTTGTTTACAAATTCCGCTCAGAGAGAACTGGTTTCAATATGTACGCAGAGTATACGCAACTGCAATTAACTTTCCTTGCATTATAACCTTGTAATTAGTAACTAGAAGGAAGATAAAGTTAAATTCTCAGAGTTTCCTTTATTATCTCTGCAGCATAAATCCACAAGCTACTTTTAAAGATAAACCACAATTGAAAATAATAAATTTTAGCAAGAAAAAAAAAAGAATATCATATATATATATATATATATATATATAGGATCCTATTACAAAGATATTTAGGATCCTATTATATATATTTAGGATTCTATTACATATATATTTAGGATCCTATACCTTGTCCTGATGATGCTGAACTGCAGCTGTACCCAGACCCAGGCAAACAATAATGCTTAAAAAATGTTTATAAAACGCCTTTTTCTAAATATGTAATTTGAGTTATTTCAGAGTTTAATCCGATTGGATATTATTATCAACTTATCATTTACCAGTTTAAGTTTAATAATTTCAAAATTGATAAATGAACTCTTTTAATACAGGTGTTGTTCCAAATTCATCTTTGAACATCAAGTAATAAATCACAGGATTAAAGATTTAAAAGATTTTTGCCCAAAACTATGATTTTCTAATTCCTATATCTATACAACCCGATGGTGTATACCTTTTGATATCTAAAACTATATAAATTCTGTTAGGTCAAATAATCTAAGTTTAAAATATCAATTTTTTTCACCGTCAGGTTGCAACGATATAGGATTTCGGATATTTGATTATTTGGCAAAAACTGATTTTTTTTTCCTATTTTAGATGATTGTGAGTCTTACTGGGAGTGTTACATGGGACGAGTTACTCATATGACTTGCTCTGATTGCTACCAGGGACTACATAGGACTCTTTCTTCTTATTTATGAAATATCCCCTCTATAAAAAATATAAAATATAAAATGTGCTTTACAATTTTATGTATGGTATGTCCTATCTATGAAGTTTATAACATGAAATGTTCTCTCTATAAACTTTCTTATAAAATATATCTATGAAATATTCTACTAAAAAAAAATATATGAAATTCGTCTCTCTTATCCTGATTGTATGGTCCCTGATTAGTGATTATCTCTATATTGGTCTTATCTAGTCCCTGATTATCTCTATATTAGTCCTATCTAGTCCCTGATTATCTCTATATTAGTCCTATCTAGTCCCTGATTATCTCTATATTCGTCCTATCCAGTCCCAGATTATCTCTATATTAGTCCTATCCAGCCCCTGATTATCTCTATATTAGTCCTATCTAGTCCCTGATTATCTTTAGTTTGATGCTGAGCATAGTTGGTGTTCTCCTCCCGATCAAGTTGAGTGTGGAGCACGACCTGAAGATCAAAACTGTCAGGTTTAGTTCTCTTTGAACCAAGGAAGAAATGCAGTTTTGGATTTTTACCTTTAATATTGGAACACTAATATTGGAACACTAATATTGGAACACTAATATTGGAATAATATTGGAACACTAATATTGGAACACTAATATTGGAACACTAATATTGGAAATTTATAGATTTTTTTCAAGTCATGTTAATATGCTCACGGCGTTTTATTCTGAAAGGGTTAACTTTCAAAGCTGTCTGCATATATTAGCTATCCAGATTCACTCAAAGAAAATTAAAAAATAAAACTTTACGTTCAGTGATATTCTAAATAACCCGAAATAGTGTTAATTGATTGATGGCATCAAAGTCGTCTTTGACCTTAGAATACGTTTGCGGCATACAACAGTGGTAACCTGATTATAGCAACATTTTGTTAAGAAACAATAATCATATTATATCCCTAGTCCTGAATCTCCCATTTTTGTGCTTTTATAATTACCATTTATACATTTTCATGGTTTTATGTAATTTGGAAATAACAGGATTAGAGCTATTTTGTGATTATTTTTTCATTACAAAAAATTGCTAAATTCAGCTTACTTGTAATGAAGCCAAAATTCTATGGTAGGATGCTTTTATTGCAAACCTCCAAGCCAAAATAAAATTTCATAGAACCAAAAATTTTTGGGAATTTTCTGTTTGAATTAGTTTTCGACCGCCAATATTCAGGAAAATGAAAATTATATTACAAATTTTTTTCATTTAGTCTACAACTGCTCCCGGTCCATGTCCTTACCCCACAGGATACTTTCAAGTAAATATTATTAAAAATATAATAATAAAAATAAACAGATACCCACAGAAGCAAATATATATAAATATCATATCATGATGATGATGATAACATGAAATATAATTATAATTATATTTCATGTTATCATCAACAATAACTAGAATAATAAAAACTACAATATTTTTTTTTCAAAACTAAAACTAAATATTAAGAATTATAATTGTTAAGGATCCTGAGAATTGTAAAAAATATTTTGTCTGTGAACAGGGAACACCTAAGTCAGCTGTTTGTGAAGTTAAGGTAAGACACAAATTTAAAAAATTATAAAAACTTTCAAAATTACCAAAGTTGAAAATCCATGAATGCACTTCAGTCTGAGCCAGGTAAATTTCATCTGTAATTATAGTGATATGAAAGAATTATTTTTTTTAGTTTTTTGGGCTTTTAAAAGGTTCCATATAAAACTGAGAAGATTTACAAACTTGTTTATTCTAAACATTTGTTTTCTAATCCTAACCACAATGTTGACCTATTAGAGGGAACATTTATGCATAAAAAAGAACCAAAAACGATTCAGAAACGAGCTCCTTAAAACGATATTTTTTTGTGCGTTTTTCCTTTTTTCTTTTATAAAAGCAAACTTTAACAGAATACAGTTTTAAAATGTTGGAATTGTTATTAAAAGTTTTTTTAAGAAAAGAACCTAAACTATTAAGAACTCTAGATACAAATTGTATGATGCAAGAACCTAAACTATTAAGAATCCTAGATACAAATTGTATGATGTAAGAACCTAAAATATTAAGAACCCTAGATACAAGAACCTAAACTATAAGGAACCCTAGATACAAATTGTATGATGTAAGAACCTAAACTATTAAGAACCCTAGATACAAATTGTATGATGTAAGAACCTAAACTATTAAGAACCCTAGATACAAATTGTATGATGTGAGAACATAAACTATTAAGAATCCTAGATACAAATTGTATGATGTAAGAACATAAACTATTAAGAACCCTAGATACAAATTGTATGATGCAAGAACCTAAAATATTAAGTACCCTAGATACAAATTGTATGATGTAAGAACCTAAACTATTAAGAACCCTAGATACAAGAACCTAAACTATAAGGAACCCTAGATACAAATTGTATGATGCAAAAACCTAAACTATGAAGAACCCTAGATACAATTGTATGATTTAAGAACCTAAACTATTAAGAACCCTAGATACAAATTGTATGATGCAAAAACGTAATCTATTAAGAACTCTAGATACAAATTGTATGATGCAAAAATCTAAACTATTAAGAACCCTAGATACAATTGTATGATGTAAAAACCTAAACTATTAAGAACCCTAGATACAAATTTTATGATGTAAGAACATAAACTATTAAGAACTCTAGATACAAATTGTATGATGCAAAAACCTAAACTATTAAGAACCCTATATACAAATTGTATGATACAAGAACCTAAACTATTAAAAACCCTAGATACAAATTGTATGATGCAAAAAGAAATCTGACGGTTGAACCCGTAGTACCGCTCAACTCAACTTAATTCACTCATTCATAAATTTAGAACTCAATTTCTAATTAATATGTATTTCTAGGCGGATTCTAACAATATAAACCAACAGCTTCTTTATAATTACGAAGTGATACAGTGTGATTGGCCTAACAGGTAATTAAGATAATATTATTATTATAAAGATTTATTCACACACAAATATATAAATACATATATAAATGGTGTAGTTAAACCTTGTTTAATAAATTTTTCAATATATAGTTTTACAAAAGAAAAAAGAAAAATTGCAAAATTATGCATAGTAAATAGGCGACATTGATCATTAATCATTACATAACATATTTATCATTTCAGTTATTACGTAATCATCGAATCCTTCAACATATAAATTATTCGTTCTTGTATTTAAAAGTTCTTGTAAAACTGGAACTTTTCATGCATATTCCAATGGGACATCAAAATATTTCATTTGTTTCTTAACTAACATTTTACTAAGATCCGAAGGATTTACAGAACAATCATTTGCAATAGAAAATAAATTTCTTATAAGAACTGTGTTAAGGTCATTTGTACATAAATCAGAAAGAAATCTAATGCAAAGCTTAGAACTTGCTTCAATAGTCTCATAGAAAGACACACATCTGCTAGCTAACATAGTTTTTACATTTAAACATTGTGAAATACTTTCAATCAAGTACCTATGCGTATCTCTAGGTACATTAAAAAGAATTCTAATAGCAGTATTCCATGCTGTATACAATTTAAGGCTGTTTTAAGGCAATATTAATCTATCTAAGATGAGGAGAGTTTAAACATTTTCTTGAACAAAATAAGGAGAACCGGAAGAGTTATTTATAAAGAAGTTTAGATTTTTATGCATGGTAGGAAGACAGGGCTTGTTCACTAACTAACCTAATTCCTGAACAGTCTAAAGGAATCGAGTCTTTGTCACAAACTCTTATTTTCTAATCACTATATCTTTTGAACCAAATGTTGTAGACCTTAGATATTTCAAACTATGAATTCTGTTAGATCAAATAATATGAGTTTGAAATATCAAAGGTTTACAACATAGAGTTCCAAAGACTCAATTCCTTTGTCTAATCTCATGTAATCTACTCTTTACATACATTATACCTCGCTGTGAGTTGTGACTAAAACTGGTTAAAGGGAGTGACCGGCTATGTAAGGTAGTTGAACTGAGTATGCAGTGTTGTGGAAAGCTTCTTTAGGAGTTTTGAACGTCGAATTTGCGCTCAAACTCAGGACTTACAGATCTTTTAAAAGTTTTATATGTCTCAAATGAATCCTAAAGAAGCTTTTGTACGCAGAACTAGGTCCAATAATTATTATTTTTATTTCTTATTTCATGATTTCTTTTAAAATACAAAGCAACATTTAAAACAATTATTTCAGGGTGAACTGTGCTGAAAGGCCTATTTGTGATGATAACTATAAACATTGCCAATGCCAGGTCCAGTTTGTGATTTAATCAATTTCTTATTTTTTGGAACACCCCTTCAAAAAGGGAGAATAAATTTTTCTATTTTTAAATCATTCCTCCAAAAAATGGATATATTTTATCTCTATTTTACAATATACCTGCCGATTGTATAAACAACTATTGTTTGGACTAAATAATTACTATAGAACCAAAGTAAAAACTAAAAGATTGAGGACACAATATTTTTTTATGCGACGTCATGTAATAATATCGGGTAACACGATTAATATCGATAGGTAACGAGATCGCGCCGAGTGGTAGTGGCGTTGATAGATGACGCATCGTATTCGTGTGGTTCCCTGTTCTGCTAAACAGGTTGAGGATCGTCCCCTTCAATTTGGGATCAATAGATGCGAGCTACCGATCGATATTGATAGCTAACGAGATCTCGCCCAGTGGTAGTGGCGTTGATAAATCACTGATCGTATTCCTGTGGTTCCCTGCTTCGATAAACAGACTGAAGATCGTACCCTTTCATTTGGCATCAATAATGAAAACTATCAATAATGAAAACTATCGCCGTTTTTCCTCAAAGTCTTATTTTTAAAGAAACCAATAGTTTTCAAGGGTACCGTTATGAATCGGACACACCCCTTTTTAAATGGATTGTACCATTAAACAAATCTTTTTCTATTTTTTTTATGAATTAAAATATATTCAGGGTGCTCCTATAGTTGATCCTGAGCATAAATGTCCCCCTGGAGCTGGTGCTAAGGTTCTAGGCGACCCTTTCAACTGCAATATTTCTCTTGTCTGTATTGATGGGACACTATCAACAATTGTCAACTGTGAAAAGGAGAAACCCGTAAGTTTTCCTTGTTTTAAATTGATTGTCTTGATAAAAAACTTATTTCAGCCTTTTTTCTAAAAACAAAAAAGTTAAGTAATCTTTGTTAAAATTTTTTTTTAACATTAAAATCTACATATTTGTTAAGTATAGATATTTGTATATATATATATAGAGGATAACACCATTATATAGTACTAGGGCTTATAGGGCTCTCCGCGCCACTATTTCTATTATCATTTAAGCTTGTTGTTAATCTTTCTATAAAAACCATATTTTTTATTCGTATATCTATACATATTCAGTTCCTAAGTATAGTCATCTCTGTTTGTTTGATTGTCCGGTTGATCATAACTCATAAATCCCTTGACCAGTTTGCCTCTAATTTTGATTGAAGAACTCTAGAGAACATAATAAGAATAATCTGATTCAAATTGGGTTAATTAATTTTATAGAAAAAAATAATTTTCAGGCAAAACAAGATTCCCAAGCTAGTATAATATAAAATAATACGAATATTTTTTGACATTTTCAATAAATCAATTTTTTATTTGAGGCAGCATTTGTAAAATAAGACCTGGCATAAACCAAAAAAAACACCGAAATAATCAAACAGACAAATATATATATATATATAAGATATCTAAAATTGAAAAATTATATTCCTTTTTAAAACAATCATGTTTAGATTGAAACTTTCCAAAATAGATAAGTTAACAGTTCATCAAAATTCGAAAATTCTCCTTCTAAATTATGTTTTTCAGTATTACGACGAGAAACGTTTTGGTTGCTCTTCTGATCCTGCTGTTTGCGAACTTAGGCAAAATATTTTTAATTTATGTTTAGAATAGTATTTTAATTTATGTTTAGAATAGTATTTTAATTTATATCTTCAAACTTGACGATTTGAATCGTTTAGAATGATATGCAAGATATTTAAAGAAAACTAAATGTTTCTGGCTCTTCTGTCACTGAAACTCTCCATTTAACGAGCGGTAACATGGCATGTCCATCGAACTTCTATTTGAGAAAGGTTCTATTGCAAGGAAAGTTATTTCATAGGTGTGCGCATCTTTTGATATGGGATCCATATTTCACATAAAAAATTAATGAAATATTCTGGGCATAGAAAACTATTATGTGAATTATCAAAATTATCAAAATCTAATGCTTTTAATCTCCTCGGATACTAAACGAACACTATGCATCTATTCTTGTTTACAAATTCCGCTCAGAGAGAACTGGTTTCAATATGTACGCAGAGTATACGCAACTGCAATTAACTTTCCTTGCATTATAACCTTGTAATTAGTAACTAGAAGGAAGATAAAGTTAAATTCTCAGAGTTTCCTTTATTATCTCTGCAGCATAAATCCACAAGCTACTTTTAAAGATAAACCACAATTGAAAATAATAAATTTTAGCAAGAAAAAAAAAAGAATATCATTTTTATTGTTTTTCATTTATCCTTGACCAGATGAAGGTTTAAAAACAATCTTGCAAACGAGACATGCCCTTGTATAAATGGGACATGCCCTTGTATAAATAGGACATGCCCCTGTATAAATGGGATATGCCCCTGTATAGAAGGGACATACCCTTGTATAAATGGAGGGTCATTGAAAATTGCATATACAATATCTTAAGGTTCATGGAAAGGCACAATTTCTCTTAAAAATAAAAAAAATATTTGATACCAGGCCGATATGCAGTGATGCTCCAGGAGTTGCTGGATGTTATTGTTACAACTAGTTTTCTTAAAAAATTCAATGAATTAATTTCCAAAAATAAATTGTTTCAAATGAATTAATTAGGTAATATTATTCTCTCATATATATATAGCTGGTCAAATAGCTGGACCGAATATATAATACAGCTCTTATCTCATATATATATAGCTGGTCCAATAGCTGGACCGAATGGGCTGAAATATTTTAAGGAACCTATGTTTGCTCTAGGGTAATATAGGCAAAAAAATCGAATTTTTTTAATCGACATTTTTTATGAAATTTTGTTTTTTCAAAATTTGATTTTAAAATATTCCACGGGCAACGCCGACACTTCAGCTAGTCTATATAATATTTCGCTTATTTCAGTTTTTAACTTCACACTTTTTATGAAAAAAGAATTATACTAAACATAATGTTTTACGTCTATCATGACGATCCTCAGTAGTTACAATTCTATGAACAACTCTTTAAATATTTCGCTTATATATATATGTGAGTCAAAAAAAAGAGTGTGATTAGCAGCGTCTGCCGCAAACTTGCACTTTTTCTCTACCAATGTCAATGTTTTCTCTACCAATTATCACGTAATTTCATCTTAAGTTTTGAAGTACATAATATTAATGTTTTCTTAATTCTCACGAAAAGTTCTAAATCAAATCCGAAAAAGTTTCATTGTAGTTAGTTAACCCTATCTCTGCTGGGGTACTTGAAAACCAGGATATGCTGGGGGGGGGGGTCAATTTGCCCCCCCCCCTCTAAATCCCATGTTTGATGTCCAAATATGACAAATGATACATCATTGGAAAGCTCTTGTGCTCTACTTTTAGAATCTGCAAAAAAAATTGCAAATTTGNCAGGCTCCTAGTCTGTCCTTGCCGCGGCTCTCGGGCTCCTAGTCTGTCCTTGCCGCGGCTCTTGGGCTCCTAGTCTGTCCTTGCCGCGGCTCTCGGGCTCCTAGTCTGTCCTTGCCGCGGCGCTTCGGCTCCTAGCCTGCCCTATAAATTGTCCTGACCCTAAATTAGTATAGAAAGTCTTGCGAGAGAAGGGGGGGGGGGTTGTCCAGAGGAGTCGTTCTAGGACGTATCCTAATTTTCCATCTATTGAAAAATCGCGCAACCTCTTAATATTTTTCTGGACCATTTAAATTCATAAAAATCACAAAACCTTTACACATCCAGACAACAATAGATTTGTAATTAATTGGAAATTAAGTGAGTGTCTATGGGATATAGGACACGTTATATCATAATTATTATAATTATGAATATAACTACTAATATCATTATTATTTGATATATGAATGATGAGAGGATAAAGAATTCATGAGGAATAGAGTAGGTCGGGATTAGGGAAATAATTAGAAATTCAGGATAGGTATACCTAGAGAGGGTTGAACAAAGGATGAATATTTCTTTAATGAATAAATGATGTTTCTAGGATAAAAGAATGAAAAAAGATGAATTAGGGTGGTGTTAAGCTAGAATTGAAGGATGAATGAAGGGGTGGGATAAGGGGTTGTTAGGCTAGAGTTGAATGTATAAGGGTGGGGTGAGGGTTGTTAGGCTATAGAGTTGAATGATGTATAAGGGTGGGGTGAGGGGTTGTTAGGCTAGAGTTGAAGGATGAATGAAGGGGTGGGAGTTGTTAGGCTAGAATTAAAGGATGAATGAAGGGGTGGGATAAGGGGTTGTTAGACTAGAGTTGAATGATGTATAATAAAATTTTATGGATAATTCAAAGCATTGTTGAAAACTGATATATTTAATACAAGATTTTATAGATTTACATAAAAGAGAAAAGGTGTGTGTACAGTGTAGGTGATAGGTAGACTGGGGAGGCAAATTGGGAAGGAGGTGGTACAGTGTATAGGTGATAGGTAGGCTGGGGAGGCAAATTGGGAAGGAGGTGCGTGTACAGTGTAGGTGATAGGTAGGCTGGGGAGGCAAGTTGGGAAGGAGGTGCTTGTGCAGCGTAGGTGATAGGTAGGCTGGGTAGGCAAGGTAGGGAGGTGCGTGTGCAGGGTAGGTGATAGGTAGGCTGGGGAGGCAAGGTAGGGAGGTGCGATGTACAAGGTAAGTGATAGGTAGGCTGGAGAGGCAAGGTAGGGTGAAGGTAGATCGTATATTGTACTTAGGGAAGGTTATCAAGGTAGAGTAGGTATAAGGTAGACCTTATAAAACATTAAGTATAAAAGGTAAACTCTGGACTGTATCTAATTTAATGAATAAAAACAAATAAAGATGGCGCTCAACGGAGAACAAATATAAAAAACACAATTTACAAAACCTAAAAATGGTATTTTGAAAATAAATCACTTTATTTTTGGCATTGCTAAAAACCCATTCATGTGTTAATTATTTAATTGAAACAAGAAAATAGACAATTTAGCTTCTATATTTTACAGAATTATGATGATATTCTTGTTTCTAAAGATCAAATTACAAATTTTTAAGACTCAGGTTGGAGACAAAGAAAGCAAAGCAGAAAAGGAAAATAAAAACAAAGAAAGAAGAAGTGAACAAACAGGATAAACAATAAATTGATTTAAAAAAATAAGAAATTAGAATGAATAAATAAGGAAATGTAAAAAAAATGGATAAATGAATATTCTTATCATCCTTGTGCACTTGTTCCTAGGATATCCTCTGGTTCTATCCTTGTATTCTAGAAACAAACTTAGTCATATCCGGCCCTGAACTATGGGGGGGGGGGCGTAGGTAAAAAGGGGGAAAGGGTGGGTGAGGACAAAGTGAAAAATTTGCCGCGGTTTCCGGTAGATTCGCAATGCTCTTGTTCAAAATTCTCACGACTGTGGATTGAGCATGCCTCGTGCCAGAAAACCATGACCTGCCCACCCACTACCCAAAGTGGTTTCCGCGCCTCTCATTGGTCGTGGGCTGACCAATTGGCGGACAAGGGGGAAGGACAAGGCGCGGGGGTCACTAGCCCGCCCCGCACCGGCCCGACCGGTTCATCAAATGAGCAGACACCCATAAGGAGAGTGTATAGGCGAGAGAGCCATATTCATTCAGTTGCTCTTTGGCTTTAGACCACTTAACATATAATCGCAGGAAATGACCGAACTTTGATCTCGACTGAGGAACACAAACACTGAGGCAATAATGATGGATTTTTACACAAATGACAGTTACATGAAAGGTCATGGATGGAACATTAAGCAGGAACCCTATGAGTGTGTTCCATATGGAACAGAGAGCATAAGAAAGGTTCCAAGCTTGAGTGATATGTCCGAGGTAGATAGTGGGGTCGGAGAAGCAAATTCTACAGTTCCTCCTCTAACTCCGGGTACAAATAAGAACTTTGGAGATGTGTTGAAGACGACCTATGTAACCTGGGATAAGGATAGTGAGAGGTTAGGTATACCTCGAGATCCTAGGTTATGGAGCCAGGATCATGTGTCTCATTGGCTCTCCTGGGCTATCAGAGAATTCTCCTTACAAGGTCCACATATTGATACATTTGTAACAAGTCTAAGTATGAGTGGAAGACAAGTTTGTTCAATGTCTAAAGAAGAATTTATCTCCAGAGCTCCTCCGTTCATGGGAGATATACTCTGGGCACACCTAGAGATACTACAAAAGGATGTGGACAAGGAGAACAAACCCCGGTACTCCAACCCCTACCCTGATACATATATCTCAGAAAAACCCTACTCCAACCTTCAACAAGTCAGTCCCCAGTCTTACCCTCTACCCCAGAGACCATATGATTTCCCCACCTATCAGTATAACTACCCCACCTACCAGGGCTGGTACGGATACGCACCACAATGGCATCAGAACTTTGAACAGTTTCCAGCCACACCCATCCTTCCACACCATTCCTTGAGCCGGGACGTTTCTCCGGGTAGTAGAGAATGCAGTCCAGGATTAACATCTCATTCTCAGTGTAGTCCACAGACCGGAGCACAAACACCTTGTTTTACAGGTTCAGGTCCAATACAGTTGTGGCAGTTCCTCTTGGAACTCTTGACAGATAAGACGTGTCAGAGCTTCATAGCCTGGACAGGGGATGGATGGGAGTTTAAGATGATAGATCCTGATGAGGTAGCCAGAAGATGGGGAAACAGAAAGAATAAACCAAAGATGAACTATGAGAAATTATCCCGAGGACTCCGATATTATTATGATAAAAACATTATTCTAAAAACTGCCGGTAAACGGTATATCTATAGATTTGTCTGTGATCTCCAGGGTCTGCTAGGCTATGCTCCGGAGGAGGTTCATGCCATGGTTGGCTTACTCCGGGATACACAACAACAAGACCCGGAGTAAATACGTCCCAACACCAGTTCTCATTTTTGTAAAAGATTGATTCATTCTTTTCCCATCTCTCTCATAATTGTTCTTTTCCATTCTCCATTTATCTCCTTTCATTCTTTTTTCATTCTCCCTTTATAGTCCTTTTCATTCTCCCTTTATAGTCCTTTTCATTCTCCCTTTATAGTCCTTTTCTCTCCCAATTATATTCTTTCCATTTCTGAGTTCCCCTTTGACCGGAAACAAACCTGCCTTCCGTATATTGTTTCTCCATCAGTTGATCTCCTACTTAATTTACTGCCCCTACCCCATCCCTCCCCCTGACCCCAGAGGCTCCCTCCCCCACTCTCTTCTCAGTAATCAGATAAACTTCCAGATTTACTTCCTGCCTCCTAAACCCACATATTCATCATTCATCATGAACAGAGTCCAGATATTCTTCAACCCTCTGCTCATGATGTTCAGTCCAGAAAAATTTCCAACCTCTTTCTAGAATACAGTTTCCAAACCCCTCATTCAAAGTCCAGGACATTATAAAAAAACTATTGATGCTAAGTTAAACTAACAGTATATTTTTGTGATATTTAAACACCAATAGTGACTTTTTCCAATAATTAAGAATTCACAAGTTTAGGCTTTATTTGTCAAAGCTTGAAATATATGCAGACACATTGGCGCATTGAAATAAAACACTATAGGCTGTGATAAAATAGTTAAAACTGTAATTATAAGTAATAAGACTAGTTATAAATGATTTAATAAATGATACATGTTAATTGTTTTGGTTTTTATCACC